ATGTGGAGGTCACCTCGCTCCTTCCACCACACCTCAGGCCTCTCCCTCCTCCTCTGTGGGCCTCAACAGCATGGAGAGCACAGGGCCTGCAGCCACATTCCTGAGTTCAAATTCCGGCTCCGACACTTGTCGGCTGTATGACCTGGGCCAGCCTTTTAACCTCCCGGAGTCTTGGTTCCTCATAAATGCAGGGGGCCAGGGAGAGTCCCCTCCTCTGAGGGTTCTTGTGGGGATAAATGAGATGATGCCACTTAAGGCCCTGGTGTGACACTCAGTACACATTTGCCTCCATGTATTTTTCTATTTGTACAGACGGGTAAGGTCACCCCACAAGCCAAGCGCTAACCTCCCAGCCAATTTGGGGCAAATGCTCCCTTGCCTGTGGCCTCAGCCTTCCCCTCTGTGAAAGAGGTCAAGAAGGAGGGTCCAAGGGGCCCCGCCAGCTCCACCTGAGCTTCGGTGACTCATGCCAGCTGCTCCATGGCCCACCCTGGCGGCCTGTGGGTCGGAAGGGACCACTCTCCCTGGACCCCTGACCCTGCCGGCTTGCTTGCCAAGGACTTCCCCCAACACCCCTGCTGTCACCATGGCGAGGAGCTGAGTCCCTGTCCTGCAAACAGCCCTCAGCTCGCCTTGCCTGGAGAAAAGGCTGCAGGAACCGCTGATAGGCAAGGTGTCAAAACCAATTGGTGTGAAGGACTTGGGGAAAACCGCTTGTGAGGGCCAATTCCCCACAGGAGGCCGGGAAACCCTCAGCCCAAGGCAGAGTGTTTACGGGAGTAATTGATAGAATAATCACCAACGCCCGAGACAACGGCGAACACATTTTTAACATCATAACCTTCGGAAGACAGCACTCAATTTTCTCCATCTCCCAGCCACCAAACTCGCCAGCTTATGGATGGTGCAATACCAGTGGTCCGGTAAGGAAAGGAAGAAAGCCAGAGTCATTCTCAGTGCACAGGCTGTTTGCCAAATGGCCCCCACCCCCTCCCCCAGCACCCCGCTGCTCCCTCCTGGCAACAGAGAGAACCTCAGGATGGTGAATCACTCAATGGACAAAGCACCGGGCCAACTCAGGATCTTTGTCTGCACTGGGGTGTATTAATAATTGAAGGTGCTGGCCTTGGTGCGTGTACGTGTGTGTGTGTGTGTGTGTGTGTGTGTGTGAGTGTGTGTGTAGCAGGGTGGGGGTGGGAGGATGGATGCCTGCTGCAGTGTAAGGCTTCCTGGGGCTCCTCTGGGGTCTACTTACCTGCTCCAGCCTGGACCTCTCCCTCCCTTGCAAAACCAAATGAATCCAGCAGCCCCTGGCACCAAACATTTCCCATCCCTACTTATCTCATCAGAGATGGGCAAACACTTCAGGCAGTGGCTCCCAAACTCCAGGCTGCACGGGAATCTTCCAGGGAGCTTATGAAAATGCAGATCCCAGGGTCCCAGCAACAATCATTTTGGCCAATGGGTCTGGGGGGATCCATTTTAATAAACTCCCTGGCTGATTCCAAGGCAGGGGGTCTGCAAAGATGCTCACAAAGATCCTGCCTTCTGGATCCCCGCCCTGGACAAGATCTGGAAAGAGTACTGGAGAAGGAGTCCAGCCCCACTGCCTTTTTCTAACTTGCATGTGGCCTCAGCAAGATCCTGTCACCTTTCTGAACAGCTGGTTCCTCTTGGTGGAACCCGCTACTTTACCAGTTCTCTGGGGAGCTGGAAGACAGCATGCTTGGAGGGGGCTGTGCAGAGGAAGAAGTCCCGTCACGTGACCAAGTCTGCCTCCAGGCTGTCCTGGAGGAGGCAGGCCCAGAACTGCCAAACACATCTTCATTCCAGGCACAGCTCTCCAGCTCTCTGTACAGACTCAGTGACCTTGGCCAAGTCACTGGCCCTCTCTGAACCTTGGTTTCCTCTTATGTACAACATCAGCCTTGCAGGAATAACGTCACCCTTAGCGAGTTAACACTGGTAAGGGGTTTGCAGCCCCGAGCACACAGTAGGCATTTCATAAATGTCAGTTCCCCTTCTTCCCACCCCTGATGTGCTCAGGGCAATGAACTAAGCCTTTCTGATAAGGAAAAATCAAAAGAGTTGCCATTTATTGAGTACCTACTAGGTGCAGGCACTGACCATCCCCACCCAGCCTCCCAATTCCTGGCGCCATGAACGCTTCACTCCCCATTCAGTCCTCAGGCCTTTAAGAAGACCTCTTCGACGTGGGCTGAGTGAGGTAGCGGGGGATGGAAAGTGAGACAGATGTCCTTGCGGACCCATCTGACCGCAGGCTCTCCCCGTGACAAGCCCTGGGGCGGGCAGGCAGAAGGCGCTCGCCTGGCGGCTAGGCTGATCTCAGATCGAACTGGAGAGGTGAGCAGCCAGCAAGCAGTTGGGGTCAGTGAGCCCCTCCCCAGCCCCCACCTGCAGACACAGAGGCACCTTCCTAACCCAGCCACATTCCCCGAATCAGCTGAGGACACGAGGAGCCCAGGAATAACGAACAACGATCGGCCTCCAATCTGCTAAACAGCAATTTCTGGGCTTTTTCAGCACACACAGCTTTTATCAAATTGGTATTCTCCTCCTGAACACAAACGGCTTATTAGACATGACCCACTTCTTCGCCGCGTCTCACTATCATTAATAACAGTTTCTTTTTGTGATTAAGTGAGTGGCTCCAAACCCTTCCTGTGGTGGCGGGCGCTGGGCCCAGCAGAGGGGCAGCCATGGGGCCGCCTCGCCGTCCACTGCTGGGTGACTCTGAACCTGGCAATGCTGAGGGAAGGCAGTCTGGCCCCTGCAGAGCAGCCCGGCCTCCTCGTTTCTTGAGGGACAGAAGGAGCCCCAGAGGGGTGACTCACTTGCCCAGAGCCACACAGGGGGTCTGTGAGAGAAGCCAGGCTCCCCAGCGGCCAGTGCTGTGTCCTTTTCATCTAGCCCCGGCCCCGGGCCTCAGCTGGACCCCTCCCGGGTTCAGAGGGAACATCACAGCTGGCTGGCAGAGCTGTGCCCCTAAGCACTCCTGGCACCAGGGGGCAGGAGCCTGCCACACAAAAAGCAGACCCTGCTTCCCTCTGGGGGCCCTCCTCGGGGGAGCATCAGCAATGACAGAGTAGCACCCATATCCTTGCGGTCTGGTGCTCCAGGGATGGGGCGACCACAGACCTCAGAGCCCCAGTCCTCCTATCTCTCGGGACCACAAACTCAGGAAAGCCCTTCTTGGAAGAGCCTCCAGTGTAAGTTCCAGCCGTGCCAGGGAACTGAGCGGAGCAAGGAGGGGAGCGGAAGGAGGAATTCCCAGTTTCCCTTGAATGGGAGGGAATCTGACAGGGAGATGAATGTCCTGGAAAAAGCGCTGTCTTTGCCGGACAGACCCTGGGGGTAGTCTCAGCTCAGTCACTCTCTCACTGCGTGACCTTGGGCAAGTCCCTTCACCTCTCTGAGCCTTGGTTTCTCCACCTGTAAACTGAGGATCAAAATAACCCTTCGCCTATTTACCACCAATCCAGCCAGGTTGGCCGAAATTAGATGAGGGATATGAAGGGTGCATAAATGACACACACAGCGGTTACTATCAAACATGGGAGGGCAGAAGGATCCAGCGAGTTGTGGTTCCCAAAAAGCAGAGCCCCTGAGAAGGGCTTTGGAAGCCCCCCTACCCCCTGCAGCAATCCCAGCGATGCATGACACCCCAGCAAAGCCTTCTTTGATTATCGACCCCCGCCCCCAAACACACACAGCCTTCACTCTTTCCTTTCAGAATAAATCACCTAGCTCTCTGCCCTTTGTGCGAACCTCCCCCAGCCCTGGGCATACAGTGCCCAGCATCGGTGCTGCAGCCTCCCCGGCCAGGTTTGGAGCCCCTGCAAGGAAGGGATGGGTGGGGAAGGGTCTCCATTTTCATCTATGCCCTGGCCTCCATACTGGAGCCTGGCTCACAGGGGGCAGGGGGAGCCCCCACAGCTGCCAGCCTCAGATGATCCAACTCTGCTGCCAACTTGGGCTCCTCTGGGGCTAGAAGGAGCTTCTGACACTCAGGCAATCAACGCTGGGAATGCTTGCTTGCTCCCCGGCTCCCACCGCGGCTGAGTTGAGATTTCCCACCTTTCAGTCTTGGCTGAGGATGAGGGTGAGTGGGTACCCTATAGAAGGATGGCAGGGGCTTCCTGCCTGCCCCAGAGGCAGACAAAAGCCCCTGGCATTCCTCTTCCCCTTCCTCGACTCTGGCTGGACGCATCAATCCCAACTATTCCAGGGTCTTCGAGGGGCTCTCACCAAGCCTTCATCCCTGAGATGCCACCCACAGGGGCGGCTGCAGCCCTAGGCTACCAGTTCTCAAGAGGAGGGGTTTTCTGTCCCCCAGGACCTTTCCCAGTGGTATAAGGGACAGGTGGGGAGACAGAGGGGACAAGGGCGTCTGTAGGGATAAACCCACAAAGGGGAAAACCAGATGGGCAGAGAAGGGTGGGCGAGCAAAGTGTGTTCACAAGTCTGTGTATATTTGCCAGTGTGTCTGCAGGCGGGCGGGCAGGCAAGAGTTGTGCAGAGTGTGTGAGCCTGGATGCCAGCTGGCAGGGTGTGAGCCCACCAGCCGTGGCGCCTGATGTGTATGTGTAGTGGGCATAAGTGTGAGTGCTTATGAGTGAAGAGGGGAATCTGAGAAGGTGGCAGGAGATGTGTGACAGTAGGAGTTGTATGTGAGAAAGCAGTGAGTGTGCCTCTGAGTGTGCCCGTGGCTAATATTTCTGTGGTCGTGGAGGTGTATGTATCGGTGCGAGTGCGTGTGGGGAGGAGGGGGCTCCCTGCGAGAGCCGGATGGGGGATGTGCACGGGGTGCCCCCTCCTCCGCAGGGGTGGTCAGGGTGGATCCATGGCCCCGGCAGGGGGCGCCACAGCATTCCCGCCACGGCCAGGGCGGGTTCGAGCCCGAGGAAGACCAAGTTGGAGCGGCGCAGCCCGGGGTGGGGTTTGGTGGGGAAGTCTGCGGGGGCGGCGACCCGACTCACCGTGGCCGGAGACGTGGTTGTCCCAGGGCGCGTGGCCGGCGGGCCGCGTGGCGCCGCCGAGTTGCAGGAAAAGTGCCAGGTAGTGGAGGGCGCCCAGCGCCACGGCGAGCGGGGCCCCCATGGTGCGCGCTCGGGCCGGGGGCGCCGCCGCCTCACATCGGGGCTCAGGAGACCGCAGACCCCGCGCCCGCCGTCCCCTGCCTGGTGCGGCCTGGCTGCCCGGCTCGGGCCGCTGCCCCTTGTCGGCTGAACCCGGCCCGGCTCCGGCCCCAGCCCTCGCCCGCCTCCGGCCCAGCCCCGGCTGCGGGTAGCGAGCGCACGCCCAGCCGGCCGCCTCCGACTGCGGGACTCTTCCCTTCCGCGGAAGGCCACTCCGCTCGGCGCTGCCGCCGCAGCCCCTCCCTCCCGCCCGCCCAGAGGAGGTGGCGGCGGAGGGATCTGCCGCTTGATTTATCATCAAAGTTTTGCCCAGGCTGGGATTTTTAAAGCGGTACCCGCAACTTCCCCTGCCCTAGAGCGCAGGTAGGGGGCGGGATGGGGTGGAGGAAGCCACCCCAGAGACCCGGTTCCGGCAAAGCATAACACAATTAGCTTCAGAAACAGAAACACTATTCAGCGGGATAAGGAGGAAAACCAACCCACCTGCCGCCAGACGCAGCGCGCTCAGAGGGACTCCGCAACTTTGCTGGCAGGGCGGTGCCAGGGTCAGGGGTGCACTTGGGGGTGGAGGCGAGGGTGAGGGAGGGTAGGAACCTGGGCTGAGGCCCAGGAGACCTGGTTTGAGCCCTGCCGCAGCCTTGGGCTCCCTGTGTGATCGTGTCTGCGTGTCTCCTCCTCTCTGAACCTCATGATCTTCATCTGAGAAATGGGAATAACAGCTACCTCCAGGGATCGTGGTGAGGATTTATGAAATCGTGTATGTGAAGCCCTTAGCATAATGCCGCCCTCATGGTAGGAGCTCAGTAGATATTACTGTTGTTGTTGCCCTCTCTGGGACTCGGTTTTCGTGTCTGTATAATGGGAGTGAGGCAGGCCAGTTGCTGGGGCTCCTTCTATCTTAGAGATGCTGGGCGCCGCACAGTGGTTTGGATCGCCCCCTCCCGGACTGTCGGGCTCCCTTCCTCCGACCATTGGATCTAGATGGAATGTTGGAGGGGGAGGGGGATGTTAACGAAGCCGCTCCCATTGCCAAGAGCAGGAAGCCTCTAGTTCCTCCTCTGGCCGGTTTACTGGGGCTGTTGGGACAGACTTTCGGTACTGACGCAAGAGCAGATCTGTGGCCGCATTTCAAAGATGAGGAAGCACATTAAATCAGAGAAGTAGCTTCTCCGAGGTCCCACAGTGAGTCTGGGGCGAAGTCCCTGACTCCTGAGCACGGTCCCTCCTGCCCTCATCCCTTGTCCTTCGCTAGGCCTTCTTCCCAACACGGCCATGTCCGCCGCGGGTTCAGCACCACGGAGGAGGACAGCGCCAACCCCGACGCCGATCTTTTCCGCCTCGTGGACGGCGCCTCGGCTGCCTCTCAGATGCGAGGATTCAGCACCGTGGACAGAGCCCCCGCCCCCCGGCCCCGCCGAATGGGAGCATCGCAGACGGCCCACTCCCCGCTCCAGACCACAGGTGGATTCAGCATTGTGGACAGAGCCCCAAGTTTGAGAATGAGGTTACAGCCCGAGGGATAGACCCCAGCTCCGCTTTCTTTACTCTGTCCTCTCATCCCCCCTTCCAATATTATGGCGGGCAGCACACCGGATGTGGCCTGTGGTCACCAGCAACAATTCAGTTCATTCAAAACCGGACAGCCCCCTGAAGTGTCGCCCACTTACAGTACTGTGTTTCAGCACAGCTGACAACCCCCGCAGAGCTGGTGGCGCCGCGCTGCCTTCAGCACCGCGGACAGATCCCCGCCGTCACCGCCCCCCCGCCCCCCACCCCCGCCAAACACACACACACACACACACTCCTTCCGGCCCACATTCACTGGAGGAAGGGGCCGGTTTTGCCACATTAACTCACTTCTCACTTCCTTCCCACACAGAGGTGGTATTTAGGCTATCCGAGGACTCTGCAAAAGCGTTTTCTCATTAATTCACTTAAGCCTCGTTCCCAATGAAATGGGCTCCATGCCCCCATTATGAAGATGAAAAAACAGAATCTTCAAGATCACATAGCAGCGCCAAGACTGAAACCCAGGACTCTTTCAATCCCAGCCTGAAACCTCACCAGGAGAATGTGGTGGCAGAAGTAGGGCTCAAACCCAGGGTTTTCTCCTCTTAAACCACATATTGGAGGGAGGCGGCACAGGCAAGGGGACGGGGAGAGGCAGGAGATTAGAAGGGAGAAAACAAGAGACTTTGCCTGGGGGCTGCAGGGCAAGGAGGTGGGGGAAACAGCCGCACACGGCTGCTCTGCGGCTAACCCACTAGCCGACCTTCAGGAATCCTTTCTCCTCAGAGTCTGGGACAGGGTTAATCCCAGTGACCTCTAAGGTTCCTTCAAGGACAGACCTCCAGGGGTTTTATGACTTTGAAAGTGCTTGTGCTGTAATGGCTCTGCTGAAAACCCTCCAATGGCCTGGTGTGTCAGAGAAATCCCGACTTCTCCAGTTTGCATTCAAAGTCCCATCGCTTCTGCTCCAGGCACTGTTCCCTCCACGTTCCCTCCCGGAACCTGCCCCAGCGTCATCACATCCTTTCCCTTCCCCACTGTCTAGCTGAGTCCCTCACTGGCCAAGGTCCAGTCTGAGTCCCCCACAGAAAAAATGCCTGCTACTTTCTCCCAGTCCCTGAGACTCTGTTGGCCCATCGCTGCCTACCCAGCATTGTGCTAAGAACTTTAATTATCCGACTTAATCCTCAGAACCACCAGGCCATATAGGGTAGAATAGTATGGTTATAAGTGTGACCTCTAGTTTTGAATCCTGCCACTTGCCAGCTATGTGATCTTAGACAAGTTAGCTTTTCTGTGCCTGAGCTTTCTTATCCGTAAAATAATGATAATAATACGTCCACTACAAGATTATTGTGAGGACTAAATAACTTGCTACATGGAAAGAACTTAGAACAGTTCCTGGCACATAGTAAATACATGATACATGGTGGATATTATTATTATTTACAGATAAGGAGACAGATGCTCAGAGAGATTAAGTATCTTGACTAATGCCACACAGTAAGACAGTTGTAGAGCTATGATATGTTTGACCCCAGAGCCCACGTTCTTTGGCATAATACCTGAGCACATCTAGTTCAACCCACCCTCTTTGCAGTTTAGGAAACTAAGACCCAGAGAGGATGAGTGAATTCCTCAGAGTCACACAGCCAACCACGACAGAACTAGATCCAGGTGCGCTGTCTCCCAGCTCAGGGCTCTCCCACTATCCCGTCCTGGCCATTTGTATTTCCTGCAGCACCTAAACTGTACTTTACAGTTTGTAAATCACATTTACATCCATGAGCTCATATAACTTATGCAACAACCCCTGAGGCCACTATAGTTACCTCCCTTCTTTTGCAGATAAGGAAACTGAAGCTCAGAGAGATGAAGTAACCTGTACAAGGTGCACAATGAGGTGGGCAGAGGCTGGATGTGAAAGGATGAATCCTCAGGCCGTATGTTCCCCTGTGTAATTCTGTCTCTTTCCTGCTTCACTGATCCAAGCGCAAACAGCAGGCACAGTGGAAGGTTAGGGCCCAGTGGAGGCAGGAGGTAAACAGACTATCCTGGGAAATCGTCTCTAGGAATTCTCTGGGGGGGCCATGACTCTTGTCACTCCTTCACTCTGGGAATGCTCCAGGCGATAGTAAGCTTCCCACCCCTGGAGGCAATTAAACAAGCATCTGGTGGTCTCATGGATGCCACGAGGCAAATATCACTGCAATTTCCATCACCCAAATGAGGCTCAGAAGGTGAACACCGTGTCAAGTATTTCAGCTGGGAAAGCTGACCTTTTTCAAGTTGCTCCCCAGCAGGGAATCTCGCACTGTCCTCTCCCCCTGACCCAAGCTTCCTGGAGAGTCTCCACCCTCCCCTTGACTACCGGAGGCCACCCTCCCTCCCCCTCGTGAGAGGTGTCACTTGAGCACCACGGCTCTGTCAGTGTAACAGCCATAAGATTTGTCCTTTTAATCCAGAATCAATAACAAATTTCATTTAAAAATAAATTAAACCAGGCATTGGAAATCATTCACCGTGTGGGCCAGGGCCCTATATAGCGCCGTCTAAATGGCTTCCTTTCGCTCATCTATCACTGCCAAGAGGGGGGAAATACCTAAGCTGCCTGATTCATGGAGAAAGTACTTAAATGTATCAGCCCCTAACAATGAGCAATGTGAGCCCGGAGTCGCACCTTTTAACACACCAATGACATGTGGAGCGCAGACTCATGAGAGCTTATCAGAGACCCCACAGTCACTGGCTTTGAGGGAACCCATTTACAAGGGGGAACAATGGCTTCAGTATGGAGCCGCCTAATTTCCAGAATGCATTACTGAGCTCAGAGGAGCAATGGAATTCTATTAAACTCTTATCTGCCATGGGAGGGTATGAGACCGGCAGGGAAACCCAGACTTGGCATAGACGTGCCCAGGAAACACCGGGGCTGGCCCTAGGAGGTGGGGGAACAAACCCGGGTTTGGGGGGGGGGCGGCGGGCAGGGCCCGGATGTGTGAAAATATGTGCATTAATGGAGCTCCGGTTTCCAGCCATTACGTTTACATCAGCGAATAAAACTTGGCAGTAAAGCATCAGAGCTGCGTCTCAGACAGAATTTCCTTTTACAGCCTGGTGTATTTCACTCGTTATAACAGGAGGCAAGGAGCTTGAGGTGTCCCCATTTCTCCCCCTTTAATTAAATTTCCTAAATTACTGCCCAAGATTTGGATAAAGCGAAAGACTTACGGCTCCGCTAATCACCATCAAGGCTCCTGCCCCATCACTGTGGCGGCCCTGACTGTACCAGTTTCCAATATTATTAAAGTGAAATACTGTGGGCATTGTCTGCCTGGGCTCTGGTTTGTAACAGGAGATGCAGCCTCGGGAGAGAAATTGGCCCAGGCTCAGGAAAGAGGCCTGGGTTTCAGGACTGGTTTTGCCATCACCTTGCTGTGTGATCTTGGACAAGTTACTTCCCCTCTCTGAGCCTCACAAGTTTCCCTTTTCCCCAAACATCTATCCTGAGGCTCTTAGAATTGATTTGGAGCTCGGGTAGCCCTTGAATGCACACTGAGATGACTTGCGGAGCTTCAAAAAAATATTAATACTCAGGCCACACCTCAGCAATTCTGACACAGTTGGTCTGGGGTGAAGCTTAGGTATCAGGCTTTTAAAAAGTACCGCAGGTGGTCCCAGCGCTCAGCTGGGGTTGGGCACCACTGGCCTAGACACAGAGTTCTGAGATAACAGTGGGCTTCAGAGTCTCTGAGGAGGCTGGTTGCACCTGCAGAGGCCCAGGCCCCCCCCGGGGTCCTCTTTCAGTCTGCCTGGGGGAGGTATCTGGGGCCTGCCCTCTCACCCCGCACCCCAGAGGTATGTCCTGCAGAGACCCAGTGGACCACAGTGGGGACTCCAGCAGGGTGAGCTGGGTCCAGCCGGCCTCCTGGGGCGAGGGAGGCACCTGCCCCAGCTCTCATCTGGAGGGCAGTGCAGGGGGCCGAGCTGTGACCTCCCAGCCAGGGCTGACGACTGATTTCCTTATCCATTCCCCTACAAGCTGGGAAGGAGCCTTGACTGGCCTGTAGGGTCAGACCACGTCCCTGTCACATGAGCTTCCATGTTCTGACCCCTCGGCCCACATGGCCCACCCATGTTGCAGACCCAGGTCCTCCCATCTGCGTGGATTCTGAGCCTCCATCTGCTGTCTGCCTCCCCCAGAGCTTGTGGCCCAAGTCGGAAGCCCATGTCCAGGCTGAGGGCCACGCCTGGGCCAGAGGCGAGGGGGAGGTCATCCAGCCTGGCCCCTGCCCCTGCCAGGCTGAGTAACCACATGAAGACCCATGGGGCCACTTTGAGGTTTTTCTTCTGGATTCCAGCCTAGGTGGACCACATAGAGTGAAGACATCATCTAAATATCTCCACTTTTTAACAAAGAAGGACCAAGGATCAAACGCCATCACCCCCATTGTACAGATGGGAGAACTGAGGCCAGAGAGGGGTGATGACAAGCCCAGGATGTCACAGGGAGGAAATGACAGAGCCAGGCCAAGGACTAAGTGCTCCTGACTCCAGGCCGGGTCTCTGCTCCACATGTCACTGCCTGGGGAGGGCAGACAGGATCCATTGTCACCTTTGCAGCTGCTCCAAAGACATCCCACTCTGTGGCTTCCCAACGGGGGCACTCTCCAAGATCCAAAGAACCCCTCTAGGCCTTCAAATCCGAACCCCAGCCCATAAACTGCATTCTACCAAGGCCAACAGGACACACCCGTGGCTCATATCTGTGTTGTCCCAGCAAGGAGTCTGCAGGTAATCCCCATCAAAGGCAATTAACTGCATCAGAGAGACGAGGCTCCGCGGGCCCTTCGACCTGCGAACCAGGTGCTTATTAACCACGACAGGACAGCAGGGCCCTGCCCATCTCAACACTCCATTTGTGGGAGTGCTTTTAAAATCCTGAAATGACTTTAATGGTTTGGGTAACACCAGTCTAAATATCCCACGGCTGTGAGTAATGAGCTAGACCAACACTGTCCAATAGAAATCAAATGTGAGCCGTGCGTAATTTAAAATTTTCTAGTAGCCCCATTTAAAAAAAAAGAAAAAGAAACAGGTAAAATTAATTTAATAATATATTTCCTATAACCCAATATACCAAAAACATTATTTTAGGGCCCACCCTGATGGCCTAGCAGTTAAAGTTCCGCTCTCTCTCCCCATCGGCTACCCCAGTTCACTTCCCAGTGGAGGAACCACAGCGCCCGTCTGTCAGTAGCCATGCTGTGGCGGCGGCTCACACAGAAGAACTAGAAGGACCTACAACTAGGATATATGACTGTGTACTGGGGCTTTGGGGAGAACAAAAAAAGAGGAAGATTGGCAACAGATGTCAGCTCAGGGCAAATCTTTCCCTGCAAAAAAAAAAAAAAAAATCCAACACATAAGCAATATAAAACATTATTCATGAGATATTTTACTGGTGTGTATTGTACCCTGATGGCACATTTCAATTCGGACTGGCCACATCTCAGTGCTCAGTAGTCACCTGAGGTTCATGACCAGCCTAGTGGACAGTGCAGAGCTCAACCACTCCTAGGGCAGGCCTGGGGCTGGTATTTCGATGGTGCTCCCACAGCGGGAGGGAATGGGCATCTATTGAGCACTTCCTGTCTGCCAGGCACCAGGATTTTTCTCACTGAATCCCATGACAAGGCTAGGAGGTAGGCAGGCCGTACTGTGGGGAGAGGGGAAGGCACAGAGCAGTCCTGTGCGCTCTGCTGGGTGTCAGTTACCACCTTGTGTCACTCTGTTGTTATCGTTAGGCTTCTGTCCAGGTTGTCTCCGCAGGCCGGTCCTCGGTGGACCGTCTGGGCCAGAGCAGAGGACTCTGAGCCTCTCAGAGGTTCAGAGACAGGCACCAGGCCCATGTTTTCTTGTCTGTGCCCAGGTTTCCCCAGACCCCTGCACCACCAGAGCGCCTTTGCTGGTTCTCTCTCTTTCCAAGCGCATCTGGAGTGCCTGCCCTGCGCTCTGCTCTGGACCCCAGGGACCCCGAGGCCAGCTCCCATCCTGGGGACTCTCTTTGCAGTGCTCATCTCCTCACTCAGGCAAGACCAGGGTGCTCACACCTCACAAGGCCCATCATGACCTGTCACCTCTCTGCTTACATCTCCCTCGCTCCTCCTGCTCCAGCCACACGGGCCTCCCTACTGCTCCTCAGACACTCCAGGAAGTCTCCTGCCTCGGGGCCTTCGTGTTTTCTGTTCCTGTTCCCTGGAACATGGTTCTTTCAGATCTTCTGGCCTCGGCTCAAATGTCCGCAACCATCTTCTCTAAAATCGTAGCCCCCGTGCCTCTGAAGCCCCTGACTCTTCTCTATTTTTCTTAACACTCACCAACCTGCCACCTCACGTGACTATTTCTTGACTTTCTATCACCCTCACTCCGAGGTAACCCCACGAGAACCTGTCCTGTTCTCCAGCTGAGCTCCTGGCGCACAGCAGCTGCTCAGTAAAGGACTGAACAGACCCCCAGTGTGCCTCTGAAGCCTGTTTGTGCTGGTCTCCCCCTCGGACTGGGAGGTCCAGGCGGGAGGCACTGATATTCTGCTCATCACTCTGCTACCAGCACACAGTGGGCCCCCAGCAACACTGCCTGCGTGAGGCCCGCCGCGCCACAGCCTGGGAAGGGTCCTCCCTCCCGTGTTACCGTGACCGGCAGCTGCCGTTGGCGGAGGACCTAGAATGTGTCAGGTCGCATGCCAGTGTTTACTGTTTTCTCATTGAATCCTCATGACACTAAAAGGTAGACGTTTTATCCCCATTTTACAGATAAGGAAACCGAGGCCCGAGAGGTGTCCAAGGTCTGCAAGTGCAGACCCAGGGTCCAGGTGGGATCTTCCTGACTCCAAATAGCAAATGACACTCGCCGCATTGTCCCCTGCCGGTCACTGAGCTGAGCACTGCACGTTCCTGTCCTCTTGGCTGCCCGTCACGACCACGTGAGGTTACCCCACCGACATCCTGGTCGCAGGGGAGGAGGCTGGGACTCAGAGCGATGCAGAGGCGAGCCGGAGATGACACAGCTAGTGGCCACTGAGTGGCTGTCTGTGAGGCCTGGGCCCTTAACCACGAGGAGCAGGTCCCTCAGCTCCAAGGACATTGTCTGGGGCCCAGATCTCCACGCGTGGTGGGGGGAGGGGGAAGAGGGGGAGGGGACACGTTCCTGTCCGCCTGGCAGCCCCTCCTGATGCTGGGGTTTGATCCCCCTTCCCGCAGACCGGAAGTCAGGCAGGCCCGACCCCAGGCAGGCCCTCCTCCTCTGAGTTCCAGGCCGCCTCTGGCAGCCTTCCTCTCTGCACTGTAGCCTTTCCCATCTCTAAAATGGGAGGCTACACTTTGACCCTCAGTGAAGAGCCTTTCCAGCTCAATATTCTAGAAGAAAATGCGGGATAGTGACCCAGCAGAAGCACACAAGCTTTCCAAGACAGACCTTCAGAGACCCGGGCTGAGGTTCTTCTCCTCACCAGAGCAAATGCCCTCTAAAACCAGAGCTGGAGGGTTACACCAAAGGAATGGCATTCTAATGGTGGAATTTCAGGCAAGGATGGGGTGGGGACAAGGTGACGAGCTTGACCCAGACTGCTGGGCCTGAGGCGGGGCCGAGCTCCCTTCCCAGGGGTCCCTGCTGCAGGGGCAGCATGGTCCTGCAGCCTGGGCTCCCGGGTTAATGATCTGTGGGCTGAATCTGGATGCAGGAGCTGGAGTTCTATTTAAACGGCTGGGCCCGTGAATCAGGCCGCAGCAGCTCGAGGAGGGGACAAGTTCCCTCGAATCTTGGAACGTCTCCGGCTGTGATGCCAAACGCAGCGCAGCATCTGGGCTTTCAGAGCCTCCCCACCCCCGGGGAAGGCAGCCTTCGGGGGCAGAAGTGGGCGTGGGGATGCAGCAGAGAGCTGAGCCCTGAGCTGGAGCAGGACCCCTCCGGCCC